TCATGCAAAGATTTGAAGTCAATTAGGAACAGGGTTACTATCCAGCCACCTGTGTAGATAAATCGGGCAGGTGGATAAGGAAATCCTCGTCAAACAGCTCTACAATAAATAAAACTACCTACAAACATCGGAAGGTAACTAGAGAAGGGGGAAACTGGCCAACCACCTGTGCAGACATGTCGGGCAAGTGGCTTTGGAAATCTTTGTCGGACAACTGTGCACTAAGCACAGGTGCATCCAAACATCTAAAGGAATAGATACATGCTAAGATTGGAAGGCAAGTAGGAACACTGAAATTGGCCAACCACCTGTGCAGACAAATCGGGCAAGTGGATAACAAAACCCTGGCAGACCACCTGTGCTGTCAAATCGGGCAGGTGGCTGAGGAAATCTTGGTCGGAGAAGTATCTACTAAGCACATGTACATGCAAACATCTAAAGGCAACAAGGAAAAAGGAAACTGACCAACCACCTGTGCAGACAAAATCGGGCAAGTGGATAGACAAATCCTGGTTGGACACCTGTATATATAACACAAGTATATGCGAAGATTTGAAGGCAATTAGGAACAGGAAAACCGTCCAGCCACCTGTGTAGACAAATCGCGCAGGTGGATAGGGAAATCCTCGTCAAACAGCTCTACACTAAACAAAACTACCTACAAACGTCGGAAGGTAACTAGAGAAGGGGGAAACTGGCCAACCACCTGTGCAGACATGTCGGGCAAGTGGCTTTGGAAATCTTTGTCGGACAACTGTGCACTAAGCACAGGTGCATCCAAACATCTAAAGGAATAGATACATGCTAAGATTGGAAGGCAAGTAGGAACACTGAAATTGGCCAACCACCTGTGCAGACAAATCGGGCAAGTGGATAGGAAAATCCTAGCACTCTACCTGTGCAATCAAATCGGGCAAGTGGATAGGAAAATCCCGGCAGACCACCTTTGCACTCAAATCGGGCTGGTGGCTGAGGAAATCTTGGTCGGAGAAGTATCTACTAAGCACATGTACATGTAAACATCTAAAGGCAACTAGGAAATGAGAAACTGGCCAACCACCTGTGTGACAAATCGGGCAGGTGGCTGGGTTAATCCTTATGCTAAACCACAAGTACATACAAGCATCTGAGGGAAAGTAGGAATGAGGGGAACTGGCTAACCACATGTGCACACAAATCAGACAGGTGGTAGGGGAAATCCTGGACTGACACCTTTATACTTAACACAGTTACATGCAAACATCTAAAGGCAACTGGTGAAGGGGGAAACTAGCTAACCATTTGTGTAGAAAAATAGAGCATGTGGGTAGAGAAATCCTGACCGGACACTTGTATACTAAACAAAGGTACATGCAAACATTTTAAGGCAACTAAGGAAGGGGTAAATTAGACAACCAAGAGTAAAAGTTGTTCTCCTTGTTAGAGACCTGTATACTAAACACAACTACAGGCAATCATCTTAAGACTAATTAATAAGAGTACATCCTAAGAAGTCTTACGAAGGGTGCACATAATGTACAAGTCTACAAAATCACTAACTTATCTAATACCAACTAACAGGACCCGCCCCGAATCCCCCTCTTGTTATCCATGATGAACCCGGTGCATGCCCTACACTTGGCAGGTCTTCTACAAAGAAAACACAATTAAATCTCCCAACCATTCAGCATGTACAATCTATAAACCACACCAATGAACAAAAGTTTCAATGGACCTCGGGCCCTTTTACACGACATAAATCACTCATCAAACATAATAGAGCATGAAACCTGCATAATAACATAGATAAGTTATCAAGATCCGTTCTGTCAAATTAAACATACTACTAAAAGCCTAACTTGGTGGCTGCACCTAGATCGACTATAGGTTGCCTACGTACCCTTTCCATAGGATCAAGCCACTCGTAGTTCTTATAAAAAGCTTCAGCACAAAAAAACCAAACCAATCCTCTGATCAATCGATAAGCTAACAACTAGTTCAGACATTCTTAAGCACTAGAAAACATTCTCCTCGAAATAAATTAAATAAAACTATCGCAAAACTAAATAGGTAGAACACGAGCTCAAACTAAAACAACAATATTCTTAAAAACCAAATTCATACCTACATAACACCCAAAACCTTACTTAAATAAGGCATGAATTGAATAATAATCAAACAAAACTTTGGAGGCATTTCATATCGTAAATCAAAACATCATACTCAAATCACAAAGCCTTAAGCGTCTCAAAACAATTCTCATTAAAACAAGAATACAAAATATAGATATAAAAACAAACAAATAATAATCAAATAAAACTTTGGAGGCATTTCAAATCGTAAATCAAAACATCATACTCAAATCACAAATCCTTAAGCGTCTCAAAACAATTGTCACTAAAACAAGAATACAAAATATAGAAATAAAAACAAACAGTCCACTAAATAAGTCCAAAGAGTTTGGCTACGAACTGATGGCCAATCATCGTCCGATCGCACGATCAACAACCCTAACCCTAGAATCGTCGATCCGGAAGATTCGAAACTCCAATTCTAGATTTATAAGTTCCTACACACTCCAAACGATACAAGGAACCAAATATCATAAACAAGGACCGATCCGACGGTCGGATCCGTCCAGATCAATCAATGCCTAATAGGCGAAACTTCGTTCGCCTATCAAACGACGAAATCTCACCAATCCAAGTTTATCATCGTGCTTCAGACGATGCAGGGACAATTACAAAGCAAAGTGGGGCACCACTAAGCAGTTCACTCACCTTCAGTAGCGATTGGTGGCTTGAGGAGTGGCCAGATTGGCACAAGCAATATACCACTAGCATAAGCTCTTCAAGGAGAACAACTTTTACTCTTAGACCCTGACCAAAAAGTGATAGGAGCTTCTCAAGCTCGTAGCACCAACGACAGCCACTAACGACATCAACTAACTTAAGGGAAATGTACAGGGAGGAGAGGCGCACCTTTTCCAAGAGGAATCATGGCAAAAATCCCGAAATTCTCCGTCAACTGTAGATAAACAGCCATATAAGCAACATTAAGACAAGTTATCGATTCCTTAAATTGGTTCAATGATCAGTTATCCACATTCAATTCATGAAGATGTTGGGATCATACAGATAATTTTAGGAAGCCAAACCCACATTTAAAAGATGAAAACTATAATGCACAGAATCAATGCTTATTCACATGAATCACGCATACATAAATAGCTAGTTATGTAGTCCAAGAGATCATAATCTGCAAGATATTGAACAGGAAATGTTTGACCAACATAAGAAAACCATCAAAAGAAACAATTTTGGTAATTTGCATTTCTCCACTAGTCTTTCATCCTTCTCCAGTCCCAACTATAATCGAAATTCATTTCAAGGAAATTTCCCCCAGATCCATACTGTGATACAAAAGTACGACTTACATTATTTGATTGCAGGTACCATAGAGATCTGAGCCTATATAGGTTTCCAGCTCCTATTCATCTTTGTAAACTATAGAAACATTCTGTAAGTATGAAATGGACTTTATTTAGCTTAAGCCATGAAAGACCTTGTGAAAGAAATGAAAGGACACAATGTGAAACCTGTTATTTCAGTTTCTAATTTATACAAGCAACTAACAAAGCCATGCTTAAATGTGATGAAGTGGAAATAAAAACCTCAGAACTTTGCAACTAATACATACAGTTAAAAGGAAGGGGCAGAATAGTGCACTAATGAATTATATTAGCCCCAAAATCATACTCTAAAGATGAAGCCTCCCCATGCAAATGGACACCATTTAAGAAAATCAAAGGGTCCCAACAGCAACAGCTGTCTTCGCTCATGTGAAGAATGTAGTCATTAAAAATGACAGCATAATTGCACTTAGTCCAAAGAAGAAGTGAATGAACACCACTTTCTTATCACTCTACTTGAAATGATTATCCATGGTACAAACCGTAATAATCACAGAAGAAACTACAAACTGCAGAAGAAATCAAACTACAAAAAAAAAACCCCCCCACAGAATATTGTTAGGGATGACAAGCACTGAAAAGTCCAACGTTATATTTTCTACTCTTATTCAAATAGAACTTGATCTAGATTACCACCAACGCAACATAACCTATCAATAGACCATCTCCTTCAAACCAAATGGACTCAAATTTCAGAAAAACGAATTAAACATAGCCTCTCCCTCTTCTTGTCTAGTGTACCTAATTATATTCATGATCTAACCTAACACACAATACCTACGGTACATTAACACTACGTTGCTTTATCAATCAGAGGAGACACTTCTTTTCTTGCAAGTTGATCAATGCTGAGACTCAATCATTGTTCAACAGTGCACATACTAGAGCCATGCAACAATAGTTATCCTACAAAGCCAAAGAACTGAAAGTTTGAAGTATATTTCAAAAATCCTCCAACAAAAACAAGAGCATGCAATGGTGGCAATAATTATTTAAATAATAAATTTATAATATAACAAAATTATAAAAAATGAGGTTAAATTGATTGAATTCTTGCTGAGACTTCTTCATAAATTAAGCAAAAATACAAAAGAACAAAGAACCAACCTGCAAATTATATGCAATAAACCATGAGAGATGGAGTATCCCATCCTCCACCCCCGTCATATAAAGACCTTCTCTTATCTTCTGTTCCTGAAACATTATGAATAAAAAAACAAGTTGCAGTCAGGAACATAAAGGATGACAAACAAATTACTCTCGTCCATAACATTAACCAAGAAGAAAAAAAAACATAAAGAAATAAACAGAAACCATGAGGTGAATAAGGTAAATCTTGAGCTTTATTTCAAGTAAAATATAATAACAATTAGCAAACCTTCTCAAACACAGAATAGCTGATCAATCTAGAAATTGGGTAGAGAAATCCCAAAATATACCTGCTCATCCACGTTCCAGAACAACCAAACAGAAAATGTCAATATATTAATGCTAAGAAATATTGATTGTGATCTGAAGATTACAACATGAACAATACAAAAATCGAAAAGCAAAAGAAATAAAAAATTCAAGAGATACATACAATACAGCCATGACACTTTTTATGATGGACTGGAACTCATCATCAGTGTATTCACGAGTTGGAAATGGGACTATTTGAATGTTTGACAGACCATAACTCGTCCATGGCACATTAAGAGAGGAAGGTTAGCCAGAGGGCAAAGATGAAGGAAGTTCTATATTTTTGGTGTCAGATTGTTGGGGCACAAAAATTATAAAGGAATCCAGAACTTGCTGGAACTGCAATAGCATAAAGGCATAAGAAGAATGGACACACATTTCACAAATATACATGCAGTTTCACCCACAATTTTATTGAAGATAAGGGGCTTATCAAGACAGAATCAGAAAATATTTTGTGAAACAAAAAAAAAATTGTGACAATATTTAACAAGGATGAAAGTTAGAAGTTGCACTATTGTTTAATAACAATCATTAAACTTATTAAAGGTCAATACATCAAGTTTCAGAATCATTGAAGATTGGTCTATAAGTGGATATCGTATTAACATTTGAATCATTCACCATTACAACAAATTTATGAGTCACACTATGAAACATTGAGAGAGTGTCTGAGAATGGACAAGCAACAACAATATCAGACGCCAGTATTGGTATAAATAAACCCTATCCGACCAACATGAGTAAGCCCTATGTTTGGGAAAAAAAAATATCATACTTGGCACCAAACTTTGAGTATGACACAAACTACACTTGGCTCAAAATTATGATTCTTTTGGAACAACATATAGAAAGACTCTAAAAAATATACCACGTACTAACAATTTATGCGTTACTAGAGACAACATGTGATATTATTTCTATTGTGGGATTTACATACCAAAATTTTAAAAACCAATATTCTGTAAGGGATATTTTTTTTCCCACCGGCATATAGATGAATGAGTTGAGGAAGAAGCCAGGAAAAAAGACTGTCTATGTCTGTGCCACTAATCAATTGGATTTTCAACTTAACATTCAGATTCAGAAAACCATCACCAATGATCTACTTAAACGAATGTTAAAAAATAATTATTAAATTACTTTTAACTAGACCCTGAATTGCATAAAAAGAACTAATAATCCAAACCCAACTTTTTGTATAGACAAATTTTGGGAACACAACGGGAGAACAGAAAGCTTTTTAGAAAATATAAATATAATTATGACAAAGCTCCATACATCAACTAAAGTAACAAATGAAAGTAAGATATCAAAAATCAATAAGTGGCGAAGGTACGAAGCAACCATACAGTTAAGAAACCGCTGAAGCTGTATTGCATTGTTGGTACTGTATTTTCTCCCAGTTCCAAGTCATTAAGTTAGGGACCATTTGTGTCCATGATGGATTTAACGTCAGGAAATCTTGAGAAAGCCCATGTGATTGAGACGTATGCTATAATCAAAAAATTGGGGACCTTGGTCATGAAATACTACTGCTCCTTTGATTTTTGGATTCGAGCAATTCCTAAACAAATAGCTCAGTTTATTCAGTGACACAGCTAAATTTAATAATGTGACTTCTCATAGAATCAAACAGACTTGCGTTGTTCAAAAAATAGCCATCCAGTGATCACACAATGGCCATCACATAAAATACAGTATAGTAAGAATTTTAAACTATAAGCATAAGTCACAGATAACTACTTTAAAAAAATAAATTAAACAATTATAAAATATAAAATAAAAACAAAAGCAAAACACATTTTAATTTGTAAAGTAATTAGAGTGTGCAGATATTAGAACATACCATAACCAATGTAATATCTCCAGCACAGTTATCCACACTATGATAAACATTTAATTGGTGCAGGTATGATAGTTGGCTCCTTTTTTTTTCAAAAATCACGCATGCATGATTAGACCTCACATTCAATTCATGAAGACGTGTGGATCATACAGATAATATCACAAAAGCCAAAGCCACATTTAAAAAGATGAAAACTATAATGCACTGAATCAATGCTTCACGCGAATCAAGCATACATGAATAGCAACAGTCATGTAGTCCAAGAGATCACTAATCAGCAAAATATTAGGCAGGAAACGTTTGACCAGTACTAGAAAACCATCAAAAGAAACAATTTTGGTAATTTGCATTTCTCCACTAGTCTTTCATACTTCTCCAATTCCAACTATAATCGAAATTCATTTCAAGGAAATTTCCCTCAGATCCATACTGTGATACAAAAGTACGACTTACATTATTTGATTGCAGGTACCATAGAGATCTGAGCCTATATAGGTTTCCAGCTCCTGTTCATCTTTGTAAACTCTAGAAACATTCTGTAAGTATGAAATGGACTTTATTTAGCTTGAGCAATGAAAACCCTTGTGAAGGAAATGAAAAGACACATTGTGAAACCCGTTATTTCATTTTCTAATTTATACAAGCAAATTCCAAGTAACAAAGCCATGCTTGAATGTGATGAAGAGAACCATATGGGAATACAAAGCTCAGAACTTTGCAACTAATACGTACAGTTAAAAGGAAGTGGCAGAAAATAAGATTTTTCTAATAAGAACATATACTACACTTGTTCTTAACCAAAAGGCCGAGAAAGTGCGAGAAAGCCAAGAACTTAACCCTAAATTTTTTTTTTATTAGGAAAAAGACAACAACAAAAAAAACAGAGCCTAATTGACCAAGTGTCCCCCACAATAGTGCACTAATGAATTATGTTTGCCCCAAAATCATAATCTAAAGATGAAGCCTCCCCATGCAAATGGACACCATTTAAGAAAATCAAAGCAGGATGGTAACGTTAACAAAACATCTTCTTTTTCAATAGTTTGCTAGAATGAAGACAATACACTCTTGATATCTAATTGAGGGTAACTGGAGTCCCACACCAATATCATCCATTCTATGTAGGGTGCTTAACAAATCTCATATGTAACAAAGACTTCAATGCTTTTAAAAACAAATTTCAAAATACAGAAGAGGTGAGCTCAGATGTGCTAAAGAAAAAGAATGTGCCTAGCATGTGCATGAACACACAACTACATACCAAAAATAACAAAATCAGGCGATAGATAAGAATGGGCACCTTCAAGAGGGGAAATTTAACCGATATTATGTTAATCATTGACCTTGTTTCTTCGGTGTCTGGTGCAAAAGCCAGAAACTCTTCCTTATTCAACAGTAATTCCAAAACTTGTTCAACGTTCGGTGATATTCCTTTGCCCACTTCCACAAACGTCCCTTTCCAGATATACCTGGTCAAGTCTCATTAAACTTAGCACCAATACTTCTCACAAAATGAGAAATTCCACACATAAAAACCTTGCCCAAATCCATGTCGGGTTTTAATTTCATTTGTTTCCTTATTTCCTTCAAATTTATTAAGTATTGGGAGAATATTGCCCAAAGCGAAACATCCTTAAAATATGTAGTACCAAATCAAGTAAAAACCACACACACACCCTGCCATCCACACACGCACACTATATTACAAACATAAATGAAACACAAAAATTAGCCAGACTTTGTCGCCACTTACGGCTGCTATGGGTGAATCTGAGTATCACTGCAAGAAAATCATAAAGAAGTTTCAGATTGGTTTCATCAACTTTTTCTTCACAAAAGTGAAGAAAAAATAAATAAATAAGAAAATTATTTTAATTTGAAACAATTATGAATAACACCTAACGAGAAACTGCCACTTAAAAACCAAAATCCAAAAGGAAGACAATAAGTTTTCATTTTTACTTTTACAATTAAAATGAAGGCACAAACAAACAACTACAACGACAATGAAGCAACTTGCTACAAGAACAAAGACAACGACAATAACTACAAGTCGACAACAACAGCCACAGCAGCAGCACCAGAGCTTGATCCCAACTTTTCGTTAAAGTCACATGCTATCATAACAATCCTAATTACCTATACCCTTGAGAGGATCAAACTCAAAATCTGGCGCTGGCGAAACTCAAAATCGCCGGTCGCCACCTCTGTCAAAATGTCAAGTACGATGAGAGGATCAAACTTTATACCTGGGTCGACGGTTGATGGTGGCCGGATTTTCCGAAATCTCACCGGAAAAGCTTCGGTGGCTGTGAAAAATATCCAGCTTCGATTCTCCGTCACCGGTGGACCAATGAGGGGGCTCTTTGGTGGATTAGCTTCCTTCGAGGGCGGGGATCAAAACCTAATAGGTGGCAACGGCAACCGCCACCGAAAATAGCTCGAAATCGGCGGCTATTTCTGGGATTTCTTTCGAACGAGCCACCGTTTTCCACTGCGGTAGGATGGGCTTAATTTTGATAGAATAGGTAGAGGAAAAGCAGGGGAACATTTTGGGACAAAAACGGCGGCCATTGCTGCTCGGACGGGGGAGAGACGCCGGCGAGCGTTGAGGGAAAATCAGAGCGAGAGATATAGAAAGGTGGGGCCCGGGCGCTGGGAGTGTGACGTCTAGGAGTGACATTTAAACCAAAATTTTCGTTTTTGGTTGGAAATTAAACCAAATTTTTCTAAAATGTCGAAATTGCCGTTGAACTTTTTTAAATCACAACTCTTTCATTATAACTTGGATTTTTTGCATTACCCCCTAAACGAGTTGCATATTGTCCATTTAGCCCTTTAATAATTTTTTCAGTAAATTAAAGACTCAAACTTTTTAAAAATCACCAATTGAGGACCTACTGTCAATTTAGCCCCACACAAGCATCAACCATGTTGCTCCCAACCCATTAGACCGCAGAAGATGTCTCGGAGATTAGATATGGAAACCATCGAGATCGATGAGACGGTGATGTTTCCTCTGGTTCTTAGACCGTAGTAGAGAGATCGCTTTGCTTCAAACGTTTTGGTTTTGGTTTTGGTTTTGGGAATCACATTGGTTTTGTTTGCTGATCTTGAAGAATTTGTATAGCTTCTTTGTGTTTGGTGTTGTCTCTTTGGGTTTAAAAAAACACTAGGACAACTCCGTTCCAGCTAAGGATAGTGTTGTTCCTTGTCAGTTTATCTCCATCCTCGATAAAGATAATTATTTTTGAATATTTAAGCATCAAGGTCTGCAAGTTTGCACATTTTGGTACAGATCTAGTTGCCATTCTATTGTGTTTTGGTGGTCTGGAGCTTTGAAAGGTGCTTAAAATTGTGGTTTCAACAAGAGAAGCCATCTGGTTTTGTTGTATTTTTTTGTGGGTATTAAGTGATTTTGAGCTGAACATTGGAAATGACTATGTTTTGCAAGGATGGTAAGGGAGGATTGGATAATGGCAAGTATGTGGGGGTTGGGTCGAGGAATTGGGGATCTGTGGTCCATGGGGGTTGCTGTAACATCCCTGACCCAATTTAATCGATTTAATCCAATTAAATTTTTTTTGTGTGAAATTACAATTTTTCCCTTGGGAGTAGGGGTGCTTTGGTCACTTTTTAATCCAGAATGATTTTGGGGAAATGTGTGGCACCATTGCATAGAGCTCGCTCTCCCGAGTTCGTAGACACATAGTGAGCCCAAATCAGAGTTTTAAAGAAGAAGTTGTGGTCAACGGAAGTGCAGTGGCACAACCGTAAATTTTTCAAAGTTGGATTTTTTAAAAACCAGACCAGTCCTCTCTCTCTCCCCCCGACTGTTCTCTCTCTCTCTCTCTCTTCCCATTTGACCCCGGCAGTTTCAGACGATGATTCTATCGCCATCCGGCCACGGATTCCCATTTGACCCCGGCAGTTTCAGACGATGATTCTATCGCCATCCGGCCACGGATTTCGATGAAATTACCTCCAAAATCTTCCTCTCCTCCTCCTCTACCTAGCCCACTAGATTTCTCCGATCGATTTTGCATGGTTTAGCAACTGGAACAAGGAGAACTTTTGGAATTTTTCCGATGCCGGCCACGGCGTTTCCGGCAACCAAATCCGTCGAGTGAGGTATGTTTTTTCATCCTCTCAACGTCCTCTAGCTATTTTGATAGTTGGTTTGGATCGATTTGAAGTCGTGAGTGTTCGATTAGAAACCTAGTCTGACTTTGGCATCGTTTTCCAGCCACTTCCCAGCCAATTTGGAGGTCGGCCTAGTTGTATAAATTGCTACCCTAGTTGTCCTGGTCACATAGGTATAGGTATTGTTGGGTGATTTGAGAAATTTCTGTCACCGCGAATTTACTCAAGCCACCCATGCCTTACTGGGGCGTGTGGAGTTGCGTGGGCCACTCTGTGGTGGGCCGTTGTATCCTAAAATAATCCTCATGTCGTCCTGAGCACAACAGTATGCTCGGATTCGAATTTGGTTATCGTATGACAGTTATGGGGGCTTTTTCATTCCCGCAACTACAAATGGGCCTAGGCTACTGTAAAGAGCAAATCGCTGGAATTGCCCCTATGTATGAGTTCAAGAATCATACCCCAAGAGTGCTTCGAAAGGTTCGTAGAGCCTTATGAAACACCTTGGCTTCCTTCACCAACAAAACCAACAGTTACTTACAGATAAATATTTAGGCTTGGCATGAGAAGCTTGTTGCGTGGGAGTTGAGCATTCGTGAGTTTAGCATGAGAGAGAGAGAGAGAGAGAGAGAGAGAGAGAGAGAGGAATGGGTGGCTTGAGCAGGTTTCCAGCAGCTTGACGGTCAGGCTCTGGAATGGTTTGACATAAGAGAAAAAGGGAAGCATTGGAAGAACATGGCTTGAAATCAAAGGGTTCCAGAGGTGAGAGGTGATGCTTGCTCTCTCTGGATGTGTTTATGGGAAAGAGAGGAAGAAGATGGAAGCATGGGTGGCTTTAGCAGATTTCCAACAGCTTGACGAAAGCTTCGTCAGGCTCCTGGGTGGCTTGACAGAAGAGAAAAAGGGAAGCAATGGAAGAATATGGCTTGAAATTGAAGGGTTCCAGAGACGAGAGGTGATGGTTGCTCTCTTTGGATGTGGTTGCTTGCCCTCTCTAGATGTGGTTGCTTGCCTTTGATGAGTTGTTTTGCTGGGTAGAAGGTGCCTCTTTTTATAGGCGCTGGAAGCTCCTTCTTCTCAAGAAACCCTATCTGGTTATTCCCAAATCAGCCAAGTCTCCCCCTCCATTTCTCTTCTCTTCCTTTGATTCATCCCTATTTTGTGAAATCCTTCTCAGTCCAAACACACAGACTAGAGCCTTCCGCAGTTGTCCCTGTGACCATCTCCCATCTTTGGCTACCATCTCTCCTTCTTTCCTCCCTTATTTCATGGCAAGAGCTGGTAGGAGAAATGAGTGGGTAATGGCGCTGGTCTGAAGGGTGTTTTGCTCAAGTATCCTTTGGTTTTTTAGATGGCCTGTGTTGGGATTTGTCTTTCGCCATGTGTTGGAGATTACTAGCAACCTATACAAATCTCTATCCAAATTAGCCATGTGTTGGAGACTTTCAAATATTTTCTAAGTCACTTGGGGCATTCCCTATGGTGCTGGGCTAGTTTACTAAGGGGATGGGCCAATTTTCTAAGGTAATGGGCTATCTTTTTCTCTCTTTCATACTTTCCCACATATTTGGGCTCAAGAAATGGGCTCGAGTTTTGGGGCTCCCAAGCAAGGCGCTGGTCTGAAGGGTGTTTTGCTCAAGTATCCTTTGGTTTTTTAGATGGCCTGTGTTGGGATTTGTCTTTCGCCATGTGCTGGAGATTACCAGCAACCTATACAAATCTCTATCCAAATTAGCCATGTGTTGGAGACTTTCAAATATTTTCTAAGTCACTTGGGCCATTCCCTATGGTGCTGGGCTAGTTTACTAAGGGGATGGGCCAATTTTCTAAGGTAATGGGCTATCTTTTTCTCTCTTTCATACTTACCCACATATTTGGGCTCAAGAAATGGGCTCGAGTTTTGGGGCTCCCAAGCAGCCCAAAATTTCCACCTCTTGGCCCATCAATGGGCCCCGTGAATGCTCTTAACCATCCATACCACAACCCGCTCAGCAAGCCCTAGGCATTCGCGTGGCTTAGGCCCACTTAAGCTTGTAGCATGTCAAGTTGCTTATTTGCTTGGTGTGGCACATGTATTGATTTTAAAGGTTGGGCGTTGTGTGGATGATTTCATTAAATTGAAATGGGGGAATCGGGGGTTTTGGGTTATGGGTTCATGGAGGGTGGGTCTGTGATGGGGGATAGGGGTGAGTCTGTGGGTTCTGGGTCCGTTGAGGGGTAGTAGTCATGGTGGAATCGGGTTAGGATGGGAAGGGGTGAATGGTATGGGGGTAAAAAAAAACTGAAGGAAGGGTGGGGGGATTGGTTTGGAGTGAAGGGTTAGTGGTCATGGGGGAATGGGGTAGAGAAGAAGACCACGAGAAAGAGAGAATGTTTGATTGTGTTGGTGGGCTTGTAAATTGCAAATTCTGGTTTATTCCGTATGCTCTGTGGCTGGCTTGTTTGTGTGTGTGGGAAGTTGCAGATGCATTTGGAGCTATACTTTATGCTTCCTCCCAACAAACAATTCATTCCATTTCAATTTCTGGGTCTTCTCCAGAAATAATTCACCTTAGTTAATTTGGGGGGAAGGGGGGGTGGGGTCCATAGGATTTATTTTTTTCATTTTTGTTTTTTTGCTTTAATTTTTTCAAAAAATATTTTTTTTTAAATGATTTGATGGATTATTGGATGACATGTTGTTGATTTAGACGGTAAGGGGGGAATTGATAATAAAATTTAATTCGAACCCTTAATTTGCTAATAAAAAAGTCAGAGCGTAAATTGATAATTAGGTACAAGTTCAGGGGGTATTTCAGCAATTTACCCTAAATTTTATGAACAAACAAACATAACTCATCATCTTTGATCAAATAAATAAATAAAATACAGAGCCCATCATTGTAAAGAAAAGGGACAATGTATTACATAACCAATATTTATAAATAAAAAAACACAAATCTGAGATTCTTTCGTAAAGAAGAGGGCAATTCCAAATTCTGGTTTGAATTCAGAGAAAAAAAGAGGCGAAAATTCTGATTTGAATTCTTGAAGCCTTTGATCCATGGCTTCTTGTAGGTAGAGACAAGACACAGGAGATAGGAGAAACAAAATTGTAATCCAGCAAAAAAAAAAGGTAATTTGAAAAAAAAAAAAAAAACCCAAAAGACCATTGATCTCGACCTCTAACCCTGAAAAAAGAGATGGCAATCATAAAAAAAACCCAAAAGACCATTGATCTCGACCTTTAACATTTAAGTAAAAAATTTAGAGAGAAATATAAGATGAGAAACAAAAGATGATAGTTGAGAGGAGATGAGAGAAGGGAGAATCAAAACAAAGAATTGCAGCTCCGTAGATGCATTGAGGAAATAAATCTACTTTCATAATGGCACAAAGAGGTGTTGAAGTCACATGGGAGAATGAAAAGAAGAAAAATAGACGATGAGAAGAAGGAGGTGCTCTGCGTAGAAAGCGAAAGGCGGAGGTGGAGGCTTCGAAACCCTCATTCACTGGATTGGTATCCGATCAAAACATGAGGCCCAACGAATCCCAGGGTGCATTTATGCCCATCAAACAACATATAGGATTTTAGTCTATTTTAATTGAAGAAGTCTGGTTCAGTCCAGCCCACCAAACATGACCTATATATTTTACAAAATAATCGTTCTAAATTAATGTACACTTTATAACATTTTGCTTATAAAAAAAACACAGTAGAAGCCAAAATGTCAATAAAGGGATCGTCATGTTTGCATGTCTGGATAACCTTATATAGATATAGTTAAATGTTTGTTAATTAGGTTGTTATTAAAAAATGAGGAATAAGAAGGATGTGCGCTCTCCATGCGATACACAACTTAAGCACGTGGTATGTTATGCATGGCACGCGCTGTCCGCACTTCCAAAATCTTCTTAAATATTTGCTCTCTCAATTAATTAATTTTGTAGTTTTGAGGAAAGAATATAATAATAAAAAAATGATGTCAACCTTTGGTTTTGAAAGCCAAAAACTTGGGAAGTTATTGTTTATATTAACGTTCGTGGATAAATTCTGATTGGCTTGTTAGATCTTGTGCCTGATCCGTCTGCATAATTCCTATTGCAAGAAGAGACCTGCACAAGATACTTCTAGACAAAAATTTCATCAACCACAAAATGGATCCTACTTGTTGAGGGTACATCGAAAGCGACTTTGCGTAGGCTTATAAGGAATCAATTGGTTTTGGAATGAAACCTCAACTTTCTTAATGGTATTAGAGAAGACTACCTACAGGTGAGTAGTAATCTACCTACAGATTAATCCACCTGGATCTCTCTCCCAACAGAAGACACGTCAGACATGCCCACACACACGCAGTGGAAATTGCGAAGACATTTTGCCGACCATCTTATTGTAATCTAAATTTTATTTATTTATAAACAAGCCAGTTTTATATAATTAATCAAAATCAGTCACCTTCTACATTTAAATTTAAAAATGCCTATGTGTATATATGTAAATTTTATTTATTTATAAACAAGCCAGTTTTATATAATTAATCAAAATCAGTCACCTTCTACATTTAAATTTAAAAATGCCTCTGTGTATATATGTATATATATATATGTTTTCAATTTGTGAGCAAACTAGACCTTTACACATCTCCAAATAATCACATCATGTTGGCTTTATCTCCTCCCACGTTTTCAACCGTTGGATGGCCCTTAGAGGATCCCAAAAGTCATGACCAGAACTACTTCTACAGGGATAGGTTTACGGATCAAATTGCAGAGTCGTTTCTTCATATCCTTCCATCTCAGCTGCCACAAGTTGAGCTTGCTCGTTCCACACCATCCACAACTGTAAGCAGAGAGTACTCCGGCGGTTCCACGATGGTGAAGAAGCTTCACCATAATGCTAGTGAGCGTGATCGTCGAAAGAAGATCAACAGCTTGTATTCTTCGTTGCGTTCACTGCTTCCTGCAGATCAAATGGTACGTACTATGAAATTTATTAAGGCCACTCTTGATGCTTAGGATTGGATAACTCACTATGATACAAGGTATGTTGAAAGAAGAAATGGAGGCCAACTTCAAAACTGTGTCCAAATTGAAGGTTGAAGTTGAATTAGTCTTAAAGGAATCGCATTCCTTCTAATCCCCACAAAATAGTAGGATATCAAGACTTTATAATATATATATATTGTCCCTTATAATCAGCGCAAAATGAAAAATCCTTCAACCCTCTCTTCATTTCTTACTTCAACATATCTTGAATCTTGTGAATTATCCAATATATTCTCGAGTAAATTTCAGTATAGACATGAGAAAGTACTGAATCTTACTCACAATAATTTCTGAAACTATTTCCATGCTATTGTTACAGAAGAAATTAAGCATTCCAAACACAATTTCGCGTGTGGTGAAATACATACCAGAGCTCCAAAAGCAAGTGGAGGGACTAATTAGAAAGAGGGAGGAGCTTTTGTTAAGAATTTCTAAGCAAGAAGATCAGGAATTGCATGAAGAGAAGAAAATGAAAAGCACAGCTGGGAGCTCATTATCTGCCGTTTCAACTTACCGTCTTAACGACAGAGAAGTTGCGATTCAAATATCCACCTCTAAGACCCACAAGAATCTATTATCTGAGATCTTGTTAAACTTGGAGGAGGAAGGGCTTCAAATGCTAAATGCTTCTTCCTTTGAGTCCTCTGGAGAGAGGGTCTTCTATAATTTACATCTTCAGGTATTTGTTGTACTGCATATATATTTAGCTTACTTCTATTGCTGTTTAGATTCAATCCATTCTGATATGTTTTTTTTTTTTATGTTTTTGTTTATGCATTATCGATTATACAGGTCGAAAGAAGTTATAGATTAGAATGCGAGAATTTAAACGAGAAGCTCATGTCCTTCTATGCCTGAGAAAAGGAAAATGTTATTCCCACAGCAGTTTTTGTGCTGACAGAATATGTTACCCCATTTGCTCTCTCCGCGTTCAATTGAAGTGTATAGAAGGGCTACGGAGATATTAGTGTCAACCATGGGATCCTTTAGTTATTAACTGAAATTTATGTAAATATATTTCCATGTCATTTCCACATATCTAATAGTCGGAATCAAAATGAAAGTGGGGCCCACACAAAATTAGAAATTCAACTCCTTATTTTGGAAGAATTGGATTCTTGAGTGGGAGGTGATATTCTAATTCCTAAAGAACTAACCCATCAAGAACCTATCTTTTTTTTATCCATTATAACTACACAATTTTTAAAATTCCAGATTTGTCATATAAACCCAACAATAAGGGAATTTTAGTAATTAGACTGGTTTCAATTCAAATTCATGAGAATTTAGTAAACTTATAAGGAATCAGTATCACTCCTACCCTAATACCATATGTTTTAGTAAACAACTTCAATGCTTATTTTGGAAGAATTGGATTCTTGAGTGGGAGGTGATATTCTAATTCCTAAAGAACTAACCCATCAGGAACCTATATTTTTTTATCCATTATAACTACACACAATTTTTAAAATTCCAGATTTGTCATATACTTTAACCCAACAATAAGGGAATTTTAGTAATCAGACTGGTTTCAATTCAAATTCATGAGAATTTAGTAAACTTATAAGGAATCAGTATCACTCCTACCCCAATACCATATGGTTTAGTAAACAACTTCAATGGGAATTTGGATACTAACTCTCCTCAATCCAACTCCTCATCAATTCAATTTATGCTCAATTCAATTACTCCTCACCCGATTACACATTAGTAAACATGCCATAAGTCTAACTTAAGATTGCATTAAAAAATTGTTTTTTTATTATTTTAAAACCACCTATAAGTTATGAACATAAATTAGAAGACTACCTATAAGTCATGTACAAAAATAGACAAATAAAATTGTATGTTACCTACAAAAAAAAAAGGTGCATAAAATACTATTACACATTGTTGAAAATATGAAAAAACACATATATAATATACCTGTGCAATAGCCTAGGACAATATACCTACAACATATGATAATATATCTACAAGAGTATATAACAGTAATAATAATATATCTACATTATTATTGCAGATCTCATAATTATTGTCTTATAAATTATTTTTTACATGAATTATACTTGAAGGGTATAGTAGGAACAATAGATAATTTAATAATAATAATAATAATAGATCTATATCAGAAAATACAAAAAAGGAATGTAATCCTATTTGGCAGAAAAGTTAAAGGACTTATATCAACGACAACAAATGCGAGGATTAAACCCAACTTATATTCTCAATTTTGAACTTATTTCAAATTTTTTAGTTAAAGTATTAATGTAATATTGATTGTTGTTCCGCGAAACAGTCAGTCCTTCATTATACTTCCATAAACAAGTAACGTTATCAAATCCCAAGTCATGTTGAATGGCTTCAAACAATGGCGTACGTCCTTGAGCAATACTGATATTTGTGGAGGTGTCTTCCCAACATATTTGTGCTATGCTAAACATTTTTTTTCTTCTTTTTTTGGTAAAAGATGCAAAATCATTAGTCTACTTAGGTGAAATTTCAATTAGGTCTATTATCCTATTGTTTCCTTTCGAGGGAGAAATCAATTTCATTATATTTGGGTTAAATTTATCTTTGCAGATTGTATAAGAGCCTCGTGTGTAAGCTATATTGATTTTCGTGTAAGCTAGATTGAATAACTATTTTATTTTCGTTATAAAAGACTGTGTACAACATTCATATCTTATTTGAGCTCTTTAGCTACAGTGGCGTGTATAGCATAAAATAAAGCTTCACAGACTCTCTATTGAGTTTGTACCAAAATTGAGAATTGTTAGATTTTGAGTTTGACTCTTCCTAAAAATACTCAGGTTTACGGGTAGAATCCAACCATCAAACGCCAAGGAAAACAATGGGCAGGGCCCAGTGGGAACAAATTCAATGATTTTGTACATTGCGGGAGCAAATGAAGCAACAAATTCAATATTTGCATAATAGAAAGTCTCTCAACAAATACAAATACAATTGCAAAGAATAACATGAGAAACCTCTAGGTCGCACGGCGCTTGTGCAGAGATGCTAGTAAATAAGAAACTTATCCTAAAACAATATTACACACAAGAAAAGTTAATACTAAAGTGAGAAAATAAATTTGAAATAAATAATACAATAAAATGGTTTGAATTTAATTAAGGTGTTTGAAAAGTAAAATATTATTTAGAAATTTAGTTAAATACCCATTTCTAGACATAAAACTATAAATAAACCCTATACTATTTAATGTATATAAACACACCCAAAATAAACCCAAAAATCAACAGCTGTTGATTTTTTCAATTCAACAGTTATATTAGATTACGGTTTTGCCCTTTTGGGTGCAATTTTGAGAAACAGCCGACTTATTTATTATTATTATTTTATAATCTTTTATTTAATAACAATTATGCTGTAGATTGAAGAGGAATAAGAAGACGAAGAGCATCGACCATGGCGATGCATAAGCTCATAACTCGTGGAGCAGCTCGTGCGGTTCCAGGCTCATCTTCTTCCGCCAATCCTTTCCGTGCTCTAGGCAACGCTCTTATCGGTTCTTCTTCCAAGACTTAGGTTCGTCATCTTCCTCATCGCTTCTTTCACTTTCAATTTCTCTTCTCCATTTCGAATTTTCAATCCTCAAGTGGCCTCAACAGCGTCATTTTTTCAGGTTTTCGTTTGATTCACAAGCAGGAAAGATTGAAGGAGATACCTCATCCACGCCCACAGCTTCTGAGCCGTAATTTTGTCCAAACACTCATGGCCACATACTGCACCAGATCTGAGAGAACGCTCACAAGGATGAGCTTAAGAAGAACGAAGATACCATTTCAAGGTCAGCCGAATCATATTGGTATGATCGGTTTGATTATCGCCGAAATTCGAAGCTTGTTGAGCAGTTTCTTTGCGATTTTGTGATTAATTTGAATATGTCTACGGTTTTTTTCCTTAGTTTTGCATTTCGTTTACAAATTGCGATAAATAAATTGATAAAAAAAAATCTGAAAATTACTTGCTTGCTTATTTGTGTTAGTTCTAATATGATTTGTAATGCTGGTACTGTGTTTTTAGTATTTAGCTGAATGGTTGAGCATTTGCATAAACATTTACCATTTGTATGATGTACATGCTAAGCTATTGTTAGTTAGCAATTTTTGTTTCAGTCTTACCACTGCTTCTGCTATTAGAGAAGGATAATAATGTTGTTTACTTGTTAAAATTCCTTTTTCAGTGGTTTGAGACATATAAGTTATCTAGCCTGGTTTTGCTACTATATATATATATATATACACACTCTACCTGCACGTAGGAAGAAAAGCATTCTTTTCGTTAATCAGATATGAGTTGTTTGTTATGTAAATTATGACCGTCATTTTAAAAGTTTCAATTTGGATTATTAATGAGTCTAGAGTAGTAATTCTGACTATTAAATGGCAGATGTCAGGACAGTATATGGATACGGTCATGGGGATGATTACAGAGGAAACAATGAATCACAGATGACTAAATATTCTAGGGAGGCATTAATTCAGCTCTTAAATCTGGTGCAGTTGAAACTACATCCTAGGTATAAATCTCTATATACAAGCTACAGTTATTCAGCAGAACATGATTTGGAGCACCCTTAGGATTTGGTCATCCTGTATCATGCTGTAGAACCTTATTTCAAATTTTAAGTAACATTCTGGCACTTAATTTTAGCATTTGAGCATTTTGTTTCCCCTTTTATTTCAGATTTTTATAAAGTAGAGTGTCCGCTTTGACAGGATATCAATTTTTGATGAAGTTTTCAAGCTAATGTCCCGGTTAGACTTGGTGGTAAGATTTATTCATCGAAGTTTTTAAAGTAGATTATTGTTAATTGATGAGTGATGTCTAATTCTTCATGA